TGATCTGTAGTCATGTAAGTAAATGTTGCCTGAACTTTGAAGAGTAATTGTAAAAGTTCTACTGAATCGATTTTGATGATTTTACCACCATTAGAATCGCCTTGACCTGGAGAATATCTTTACTTAGAAACAGATACTGCAGTAGACTTGTTTAGTAAAAATCCGATACGATTATACTTAGGGGGTGATATTATACAAAATTTAGTGGTGCCTAATTTCGGAATGGTACGGTAGTTACTGTAATATAAATAAACTGTAAATACTAATTTAATTAAATATATAATTCAAAATCCACTTAAATTCTGATTTTGTTCTCACTTGCAACATCTATATTTTTGATGCATTTACGAATACGATTCGTGCAGATGAAATTTCTGTACGATTATGGTATAAAAAAAATTCCGAAATTATTACAATTCAAGATTTGTTCATTGAGGGATAGCTAATTTGTCGTAGTGTGATTCCCTAAAATGTTAGTCTCGGAATAAATGTATGGCCATTGCCTTTTTTAGATGACTTTTTAAGTCAATCTTGGTACGTATTAATAAAATTTGTCCTCAATTTCTACTAATGAAGTCATAGCATACTATATGAAAGGAAACTTAGGTACCTATTAACAGCTCTAACCCTAAAAAGAACCAAACCGAATTTCAGTGAAATAACGCCTACTCCCGTCATTTTACTACAATGCAGTACTACAACGCGTCGTTTCCACATTAAAATATATCAAGACCAAATTCTTTGTACGTACGTACGTACTATCTGCTATTAGTGCATTATACCTTCTTGATCATCCACATGTTCAAAAATGAATTTTTTCACAGCAAATCGGGGCTTAGAAATCAATTTTGATTGTAATAAATTTGGATATTTATAATAGAGTATGTATGCACATACATTATACTGGATATGCGCTGTTTATATAATTTTTTAGTAATAGCGGTAGCGATACGTACGTATCGCCGATACGTACGTAGCTAGCAGATTTAAAACTAAAATTAGAGCAGAAAATCAGCGTATGTCAAAATTATTGCGTATATAACTGTACCAAATTGCAGTGTGTCAACGCATTTGTGAATACAATCCAATAAAAATTTCAATTTCGGTCTCTAAACCCCGATTTGCTGTGAGAGATATGTATTGCTGGTAATTATTATTTTTTTTTTAGATTTGCCGGGTTTTGTCACCATTAAACTACACTATTATAGGTGATTAGAGTGTCGCAAATATTATGTAAGGAATTAGCTGATCCAAACGACCGACAATCCGAAAATCTGTCCGGATAAAATTTTAGTATCAAAATTAATCCTAGAAACAATTTGTAAATCTACTTATTAATATAAATAACTGTTTATATAAAACTCTAGTTTGATCACTTAATATCATTCTATTCTTTCTTAAATCTTTTTTTTTTTTTCAAGATGTTCGTAAATACACTTTATCAGTTAATTGATTTCGTTAAGAGTAATTTTTTTTCGCTCGTTTTTTTGTTAATTCTTGTTAGCGTAATTCAATTTTACATTAATTATTTCAATCGACCATCAAAAATTCCTGGGCCACTTCCTATACCAATTTTCGGAAATTTACTTCAACTTGGAGATTTTCCAGCTGCAACAAAAACTTTTCATGAAAAATATGGTGATTTATACGAATTTTATATGGGAAGCATACGCATTGTTATGATTAGTAGACCTGATTTAGTTGAAAAGGTTTGGGGGGCTACATCTCTCAAAACTACAAAATTTATTATGCGCAATTCATATTCTGAAGGTATTGATGAACTTGGTTTAGGTACCAAAGGAATGGTACTAAATCGTAATATTGAAGTTTGGGCTATTAATAGAAAATTTATGAATGTTATTTCTACACCGGCATTTTTACGTGAATCAATAAAGTTATCAAGTAAAACTATTGATGAAATATTTGGATATTGGAAAATCATGGAAAAAAATGGATTGAAAATTGACTTTTCTAAGTGGTCAGATGCACTAGGCGCAGATATTGTTGGGACGACTACAATAGGAAAAAGAATGACTTCAGCAGCTGAATTATTTAATGAATTAAATATTGTGAATGAAGAATCTACAATAAAAGGAACTTGGCAAAATAGCACAAAATTTGTCCACGCAATTCATCTATATAATAAATCAATGTCATTTATGATGTTATTTCCGAAAAATTTCAGAAGAATTGCCCCCGGTTTTAAGTCTTCGAACAAAACGTTTTTGGATAATAAAGAATGGATAGATCAAGAATTAGACAGAGTCGTTTCCGAAAAACGAAAAGAAATTGAAAATACGCCTTTGGATCAACCTCTTGAGTCAAATATTTTAACATTATTACTTACGACAAATACGGAAAGAGATTTGGACAAAATTTCAGCTGGTAAATTTGACAGACCTTTAACGGATGACGAAGCAAAGTCAATAATACGTGAAGTATTTACTGGTGGATTAGATACTACTTCAAACACTTTAGCATTCGTAATTTTTTATATTGCTAAACACCGGAATGTTTACTTGAAAATGAGAGAAGAAGTACTAGATGTTTATGGTACACTTGAGAATCCAGATCTTTCGATTGAATCTTATGGAAAACTCAAGTATATAGAAGCTGTAATCAATGAAACTATTCGCATTTTTCCTACAGTATTTGCGATGCCTCGTGCCTCAACTGAAGATGTTGAATTTGATGGATTCACGATTAAGGCTGATACAACAGTTTATACTGATTACAGAGCTATTAGTAATGATCCTAAATACTTTAAAAACCCAGAAATTTTTAATCCTGATAGATTCTTAAATGACAAAGAATCAATTATTAGATACACTTATTTGCCTTTTGGGAATGGTGTACGTGCGTGTCCTGGTCGAGCCTGGGCCATGGCTCAAATGAAAACTTTTTTGGTCAAACTTGTTTGTACATTTGATATTGAATCGGCTGATAACTATGATACTCCCAAATATTATTATTCTACTGTAAATCGACCTAAAGATATAAATATTTATATTAAGAGTAGCATTAATCATTAAAAGATATATATATATTTATATAATTTATATATTTCATCTAATATTATTATTTTTATTATTATATATTATTATAACATCGTCATTATTATATGAATTCATTAATTAATTTGTTTCTTATACGTAATTCTGTATAATTTAAATAAAAACATATATACCTGGCCATAAAGCCTAATGTTATTGGTATAAAATTGGAATTATATCATTTATTCCCGGTTCTTATTTATATTTCTGTACAATTTTTTCCTCATTTATTGCCATTTCAGATTCGGGTGATCCGGAATATATACTATATACACACATAATATATATATTTGATTATACTGTATATCTTTTCTACTTTTTTTTTATTATAAGAATTTTTAAATTAATGGAGTTACTAAAGAAATGTAAAAGTTGTCGGCCAAAGAAAAAAAAGTGAAATGAAAACTTTATGAAATACGTACATTTAATTTGAAAAAAATAATATATAGGTATAATAAGAACTGTAATATAAAATACCGTACGTATAAGCGCGCATCTGCGCGTTAATTAATTGACCATGCACGTTATTTCGAGTACGCCAATGAGCGTTATTTCGAAATAAGGGTTGAACAAACACCCCTTAATTATATAATAAGAGATGCAGTCAGACCTGCAGGAAGTGTTGCAATTAGAGAACGCTAATAAAATTATAATGTTAGCTTTAGTAGCCTAGAAATGATGAATTTGATTGGCTGATAAGCACGTGGCTGCATTTATGGAGGGAGTTTTTATAAGTGGGTCAGACAATTAGCGTGCAATTGCAGAATAAAGAACGTGCATTTATCTATAAGTCCCATTGTGGGACTAGTCTTCTATCGTGTATTTAAAGAGGTGTTGCATTTAAGGAGGTGGCATTTAGGGAGGCCTGACTGTATATACTTTTTTATAATAGAATTAAAAAGTGCACCAAAACTAGGCTTGGTACTAAGTAAAGCTACAAGCTTTAAAAAATTTTTATTAAAGCTCGAATGTAGGTTTATTTAGTACCAAATCTATTTTTATACTTATATGGGAGATGCGCGTTAATTTGAAATCACATATGCTATTTTTTGAGATATCTAATTTTCAAAAAAAATTGCTATGTTTTTTTAGGTGAGGCATTATTTTGTTTGCATTGTATTACTGCATCCTCCCTACAGATATTGTCCGAATGAGAAAAAGATATTTTCCGAATGAGAAAATACATAGTAAAATTAAAAGAAAAATTGAACACATGAATAATACGCGAGCCATAATATTTGACCTTCATTTATTTTGTAGTTCAATAATTTGAACCCTGCGATTTTTGTATAATTTGAATCGTCTCAATGAGACGAACCGAATGGTACTAAAATTTTTCGATTCTGATCAGTGTATTTCGAGATATCATCGAAAAATTTCGATCCCACCCGCGCCGACCATCCCTTATACAGTAAATAAAATACGTACGCAATTTTTTTGTACGTACTAAAATAGTAAAATCATTAATCACTGCAAATCAGTTGCAGATTTTATCGTGCTTTTCAAATTACAATTATGATATCTCATGTAAAAATCTTCAAATTCACAAATTTCCATTTAAAAATTAATTCTTTAGTATATATATATATATATTATAATACTGTAGATATCTATTTATAATATACAGTATAATATACAGTATAATATATACTGTATCTATTTATATATATACTGGAATTTATAATTATCTGATTAAGCCACACTAAAATTTTTTATTTTTTTTATTTCAAGTTTTTTAAAGTAAAATTACCTTTTTAACATTGAAATTGATTAGATCGCTTTACATATGAGAACTGGTCTAGGAAAATGTCAATCTGGGAATTTGAGAATTCTCCGATTGATCATAATACCTTAATTATGAATACTATTTTTAATTGGTGAATCTTTTAATTCCCAGATCGACATTTTCCTAGACAAGTTCTCCTACATTCTTGAATTTGCATCATTTCACCGACAGTCATTTCATAGACGTCTTATTATATCGATAGATAGCTCATTTCACCGACAAGCTTATTTCTTAAATAAATGATTTACTATAATTTGTCCTAGCTAGTGGTGTGGACATATTTGTGGCTCAATTACTTTACGGCTGTGGTACTACTATCGCAACCCGTTGTAGTACAAGTGATGTATTGTCGTAAGCCGAAATTTTGACCTTGTTGTGATTCTTGACTGATTCTTGTCGAGATTTTGCATAGATCCACTGAAAGCCACCAACCACAATCAGTATTTAAAGAAGCGACAAACAACTTATTTGTGACACTCTTTCCTCTTTCAACATAACCAAACATTATAACTGCCACTTTTTTTTCGACCCAACCTTTTGCACCACACGCTGTAGTCTTCTGATTCTACTATTTCCTATTTAACAGCCGGCCTGCTTCGAGCGGGCGGGAAATCACCGACTGATGCTGTTTCTCACTCGTTCTACTGTTGTATGATACCCGGCGCTAATTTTCCAGGAGAATATCATCGTTTCAGTTCAAATTATTCAGCTCAATTTTAACTGAATTTATTTCCGGCACCTTTGGCTTGCCGGCATTTTCCCAGTCACATGACCAGTCGTAGCTTTTCGAAAATTATATAGACGGTTTTAACAAAATAAATTTAAATTTTGTGTTTATTTTTTTTTTCAACCATATTTTATTATTAATAATTTAATAAATTACTTCAATACAATCTATTTATTTTATTTTATGTCATGTCATCAAGACTAGGGCTGTTAAGTGGTCCGACTCAAACCGACGGACCGCCGGTCCTGTCTTTTTTGGGACGAACCGAAAGGACCGTCGGTCCTAATATCAGTTATTATTGAATTATTGTATATCGATATAAATATATTTGATCTGATATTAAAGTTAGATCATGTATATAAATAAAATATCTACTTAAAGTCGTGAGAAACCTTTTTATTGAGTTGATATAAAGTCATATGTTAAGCAGTGAATACTTAATTACATGTTTGGTGCTTACATATAAATGTTTTGAATTTGGAAAAAACCAAATTTCTTTAGCATAAATCAGGTGCATGCATAGAATATTCCAACCTCATAAATTGACTTTTTCCAATCACAATACTAATTTAGTTAGATGTTTAATTAACCCAAAAATAAAGGTCTTAAACTGAATCGTTACAATACATATATGGGCTGCCGTCAATAGAAATAAGGCAAATTAACATTTTTAAAAAAATTAATACCTTAACTTTCACAGCTCATATTTCGATGAATTTTGAAGCTATCTGGATAATCTAATATTCAAAAGAAAGCTTAGACCGTAAGCTTTCTTTTGAATATTAAATTATTAAAATAGCTTCAAAGTTCATCGAGATAGGAGCTGTGAAAGTCAAGGTATTAATTTTTTTTAAAATGTCAATTTGCCTTATTTCTATTGACGGCAGCCTATATATACTTACAGTACAAGTTCATTAAAAATATACAGTACGTACCTACAAAAATTATGTACATGATTCTCAAAATTCATGCATATTTCATCACTAAAAATAATAGACAGGTTTAAATATTCGGTTAGAGATAGCTTTATTTAATAAAACAAGTGTAATTTGAATAGAATATATAATAATAACAGGTAATAATACGTACTGTACAACATTTTGATGCGACTTATGTAACATTTAACGTTAACGTTAATTAGTCTAATAATCGGTCCGTCCAGTCTCATACTGATCGGTCCTAATCAGTCCTGGATCGCAGTCCGGTCCAACTTTTTAAAAGATCGTCGGTCTTTGGATCAAGACGGACCGGACGGACCGATTAACAGCCCTAATCAAGGCCATCTACTACATAATAAATCAGAGTAATCTACGTTATGATATTATAATACTAACATAGTTACGACTTATGTCAATACTACAAAAAAGTTGCAACTTCACTACAACGTTTCATAACTAATTACCTCAATTCGCTCTCCTAACCTTAAACCTAATTCCTTCCCCTAATATATTTTATCGATTAAATGAGCTATTGGTAAGATGAACCTGTTTGTGAAATAGTTTTCTTTAAAATAAGATTGTTTATGAATTGATTATCTGTAAACTAAGAATTCTGTGAAGTGATTGTTTACGAAGTAAACAGCACTTTATATTATTAACTATATTTATAAATAAAAATAATTGAAAATAATTATAAAAAAATTTTTAAAAATTTTTTTATACATATTTTTTATAACTTTTAATAAATTTAGTGCTTGTAAAAAAACAAAGCTTATAATATCAGAACTAATTTTTTTAATACATTTTATTATATACTGTAACCCTACTTTAGCCAACCCCGAATTATCATACCGTATTTGCGCGTAACAACGCGCAAGGGTGTAATTTCGAATTTCGGCCTAAATTAAGCTTAATTCGGGCCGTGACTCAAAATAACGCCCGGTCCGTTATTACGCGCAAGTACGGTATGTGGTAACACCTAAGTTAAAAATTAATTGAAATTTTTTTGCGAAGTAAAGAAAATTTATTTATTTTGTTATGACAAAGCATTTTAAAATTAAAAAAAATAAGTTAAGCATAGATGTAAGAACGCGCTCAGCTACTAGTAAATAAAGTTTAAATTTGAATCGCTATGTAAAGTTATGACAAATGTAAACTTATGACAAATTGATACGTTAAAGGAAATATTTTATATTATAAATCAAAATTTAAATGAAACGCTTCATCCAAAAGGAGAGTAATGAAATAACGTAATACGTGGGTACATATTTTTCATATAATGGAGTATGAATTCTGATTTCATGCTACAATATCTTTAAAATCATCATCCTCCCAGCCTTCATCATTATAAACCTTCCACCACCAATTGTTTAAAATCCAAGCATATCCTCTTTCATCCGCATTCATTGCCCTCATCTTAACAATATCTTCTTTCCATGGTTTATCGCTGATTATGTAATGAACATTCTTAACACTTTTATCTGACCAAATTGACGAATGATACTTGCGCAATGTCTTTAACGCGTTATAAATGTAGGGAAGTCCTACCCATTTACCCTTGAAAACTTCATTAAGAAGATCCTGGTCTATAAATGTTATTTTCTCGGGGTTCTCATGATTTTTTATATGATTGAATATTTCATTAAATTTCGTTTTAGAAGGACGTAATATCATCATTCCAGAGTTAAAATAACTTTCCGAATTAGTGATTGGTGCCATATTAGTAGACTCCGGATAAATTGGTCCTTTCGTGTAAGCACAACTTTCTGGAGTCCTATAACATGGTTAAATATTTTTAATTTATTAACCATAAGCATATTATTAAATCTATAGAAAAAGAAGCTCTTATATACGTACCAACTTTTAGGATACAGTGGATTTTTAAGTGGATTGCATGTACATGCATGACATGCTGCAATTGTATTTTCGTCCAAATTTAATTCTAGAAGTTCATCCATGTTATGTATAACACACATATCTGCATCAAAAAACCCGATAAGCTCATAACCTTCGATTTCCCAGACACGAATTTTAGTCGACACTTCCTTAAAACTATCCCAAATATATTGGTTTGACTTCCAATGGACACGATTAATTTCTTTTATGTCAATAAACCGAAAATAATAGTAAGAACCAAGTCTAGTAAGTTCATCATAATCTTTACGACTTAGATCGGTTTCTTCATTTTCACTATTTGGTACTAAAACAAGAAGTGGATATTTGGTTTTTACACGCATCAGCGATTTGGCAAGACAAATAACGCCTGGGAGATACGATTTCCCAGTCATAAGAGTAACCCAGCATTTTTTGCCCCCCATTGAGATATAGTTAGAAAAAAGTGAATTTACAATTTAATGAATTCTGAAAGCTTTGAATCTGTGCTTGATATTATATAAAAGTTTCTCAATCACATCTAGGTCATACGTAGCTAGTGCTAGTAGAGAATTTTAATATAGCCGTCGATATTAATTACTAGATTTAGTTAGTATTTTTTTTAAAAAAATAGGGTTACTATACAGTAATGATTATATTAATTGCTAGATTTAGCCAAATTTAATTAGTAAAATACGCCATCCATCATTGAGGAAGACAATTCTAGAAATTCTACAAGACTCACCCGAATGACCGTAAATAGGGTCACAAATATTGCTATGGTACGCCAAGTCACTTCTCATCAAAAATCATGTTTATTTTAAAAATCTATAAAATCTTAAGGTTTAAATATTTTTTAAAA